TTGCCGATGTTGTCCCGATGGTTGCCCCGATGGTTGTCCCGATACTTGTCCCGATGGTTGTCCCGATGGTTGTCCCGATGGTTGTCCCGATTGTTGTCACGTGGTTGTCCCGATAGTTGTCCCGATGGTTGTCCCGGTGGTTGCCCCGATGTTTGTTCCGGTGGTTATCCTCATGGCTATCCCGATGGTTGTCCCGACAGTTGTTTCTGATGTTGTCCTGACGGTTGCCCCGATGGTTGTCCCGATTTTTTGTCCCGATGAATGTCCCAATGATTGTCCCCATGGTTGTCCAGATGGTTGTCCCAGCGGTTGTCCCGATGGTTGTCCCGATGGTTGTCCCGACCGTGGTTGCCGATGTTGTCCCGATGGTTGCCCCGATGGTTGTCCCGATGTTTGTCCCGATGGTTGTCCCGATGTTTGTCCCGATGGTTGTCCCGATGGTTGTCACGTGGTTGTCCCGATAGTTGTCCCGATGGTTGTCCCGGTGGTTGCCCCGATGTTTGTGCCGGTGGTTATCCTCATGGCTATCCCGATGGTTGTCCCGACCGTTGTTTCCGATGTTGTCCTGACGGCTGCCCCGATGGTTGTCACGATTATTCGTCCCGATGAATGTCCCGATGGTTGTCCCGATGGTTGTCCCGATTGTTGTCCCAGCGGTTGTCCCGATGGTTGTCCCGATGGTTTTCCCAGCCGTTGTTTCCGATGTTGTCCCGATGGTTGTCCCGATGGTTGCCCCGATGGTTGTCCCGATGGTTGTCCCGATGATTGTCCCGATGGTTGTCCCGATGGTTGTCCCGATGGTTGTCCCGATGGTTGTCCCGATGGTTGTCCCGATGTTTGTCCTGGTGGTTGTCCTGGTGGTTGTCCTCATAAGTCGGGGGTGGACAGAAACCCCACCCTGACGCGTCGATTAGTGAATTGTCCGTTTTCGGTTCTCGAGATGGCGCCGCGGCCGTCATTTTCCGGGCTTGCGCCCGCCAGGTTTTGGCCCGAGGTCGTTTTCATGAATCCACGTTCTACTAAAAGGGAGTTCTGTCCATTTCCGAAAAATGTGTTCCGATGGCGGTCCCGATGGTTGTTATGATGGTTGGTCGATAGATATATAGAAAACTATACATATAGATATACATAGACTGATGCATGGGTAGATATATGTGTATATATATATATACTCATAGGTTATAGAGCGACACATTGATGGATTGGTTGGTAGAGAGATAAGCATGTACATAGTATGATACCTTGCAAGTTTGATATATTCATAGACGCACGGATAGTCAAAGATATAGGTATATATATATATATACTGGATAGTTTGGTACATGTATGCCTTGATAGCTTGGTGTATTGATATCTGTGTAGAGTGAATGGTTGTTTAATATATAGCTTTATTGAAGCAAGTATTGCCATAGTGATATATATATATATATATATATATATGTGTATTGCCATATGCATCGACATCTAGGTATATATACCTATATAACTATAGAGATAAGCATATAGGCATAAACATTGATTGATGGGTGTCCTGAATAGATCTGTATTTCATTAGATATGTCAATAGATAGATCGGTAGATGTGAACCAGAACAGGAAAGTTAAACAAGACACCAAAGAACCCAGAGCCATCGCAAATCGACCGCATTCCCCTTTCCAAGAAAAAACCTCCTTATCACCCGTAGGGTGGTCCTATCGATGTGGTTTACGTTGAGTATGAGCACGTCCGAGTCTGCGTGCGGCTGTTCGTGAGTGGATCTGAGCATGAGTGAGCGGGTGAGCGCGTCTGAGTATGAGCGAGTCTGAATTTGAACGGATCTGAGTGCCGAAGATCAAGAACCTCGAGGAGGACATGAGGGAATCACGCAACAACCGCAGTGTTTTCAATCACGTTGCCTCTGGGAGGGTTCTGGACCGCGCAGGAGGCCCCCCCCAAGAGAGCCCCCGGGTCAGCCGCAGGACAACCCTTTCGGGCAATGCTGGGATTCACGTGGGAAGGGCGGACCCACAGCCTCGCCCCAGGGCCTCCAGAGAAGTCATTCGACGCCACATGAGATCCGGCAATCGGGGGCTTTGGCACCTTAAAGAGTAGCTGTTCAGTAAGACCTCAGTACAGGATCCGCGAGACAAGCCAGCGAGTTCATCAGCACATGTAGGTCCATATCGGGTGATGGCCATGTGGCAACAATGTGAGACCATGCGCAGCGCAGAATTTATCGAGACCGCCACCACAGGGCTCGTTTCGATTCAAACGCTTCGATTCAATTTGATTTCGATGGCCTCCGACTCCGATTCGATTAGACTTCGGATTCCGATTTGGGTGCCGATTCCTCAATGGAGGCCTACAAGCCTGCCGATTTCCGCCGATTCGACTTCTGACTTGGCTGCCGATTTCCGCCCATCCGATTCGTTTCGATCGCCGATCCGACTTGTCGATTCGATTGTGGGCTCTCCTGCCGCCACCTTTAGCCAAGGCAGTAAGCATGCTGGGGCCCTATGGATCCCCCATGCTTCGGCCTGGAGGCTATCGCTGTAAGCTTGCGTTGTCGGCGTTACTCTGTTGCCCGCGTGCATCCGAAGAGGGACAGGCGGCGCCGCCTCGAACGAGCCACGCCCATCCCCCTACCCAGGAGGAGAGGGAGGAGGAGGAGGAGGAGGAGGAGGAGGAGGAGGAGGAGGAGGAGGAGGAGGAAGAGGAGCAGGAGCAGGAGGAGGAGGAGGAGGAGGAGGAGGAGGAGGACAAGGAGGAGAAGGAGGGTGCTTCAGGGCTGTGACCCTTACGGCGCGTCAAATAGCGGAAATAGCGGAGAAGGAGGGGAAGGAGGAGGGCACGGCAGCTGCCATCGGACCAGAGCAAGAAGTGCTGCTTTGGTATGAGGTGTTCCTGAAAACGATTGGTGCAGCCCAGGTGCCATTTTTGATTCACCATACAATGCTCCACCGTCGAGTCGGAGTTTGAGTTCTGATGTCGGGACCTCCATTCCACCCAACAACGCGCCCACATACAGAACAGCCTCTTCAAGAACAGTGCGAACACGTTCTCTCAAAGAGCAGCGCCTCCGAGTTTGCCGTCCGTCTGTGGCTACGTCGCGCTTCCAGCCTGCCTTGTCGCGTGTGTTTCCGTGGGGTTGCCCAGACGCCCAGTTGTGTTTTGACCTGACTTGTTGCGAGGTCGCCTCCCTCTGTTTCCTCCCCCCTCTCGAACATGTGGCGGTGACACAGATGATCTGAGACGTGCCCAACCACTTCTCCACGCAGTGCGACCAGTTATATGCTCTCTCCACCGGGAAGAGCACACTGCGAGCTGCGCAGCACTCTGGCACTCTTCGCCTCACGACGTCGGGCCACGCGCGTCGCACACCTGCACGGGAGAGGGACATCGAGGACAGCGTCCTGCGACACGCGACGCTGCGGCCTCTGTGCTGCAGCGGCGCCGCGCGCCCACCCGCGCGACGGCGCCACGCGCCGCGTGGGCACGCGCCCTGCGGGCGCCCTGCACCTCGCCGTGCGTCCCGGGAGCCCGCGGAAGTGGCGACAGATGCGCGCTCCGCTGCCCTCCATTTGGACGCCCGAGATGGGTACGGAAAGAATGGGTACAATGCCCAGCAGCAGTTCCTGTTCATTCTGAACAGGAATCGCTGTCGGTGTCGCCGCGGCCTGTGTCCATTTGAAACAGAAGGCCGCCTGCCCAACAGCGGCCGCTGTTGGTTTGGGACAACATGTGTTGTTGGGCACTGTACCCATTCTTTCCGTGCCCATTTCGGGCTCCAGGGAGCCTCGAGGTCCCGGCCGGGGCTGCGCGCAATCCCGCCCCGCTGGACCTCCCAGGAACCCACGACAGTGGCGACGGTGACACAGCTCGCTGCCCCCAGGGAGCCGCGAGGTCCCGGCTGGGTCTGCGTGTAATTCCGCCCCGTTGGACCTCCCAGGAACCCACGACAGTGGCGACGGTGACACAGCTCGCTGCCCCCGGGGGGAGCCGCGAGGTCCTGGCTGGGGCTCGGTGTTAGTCCACTCCGCTGGACCTCCCAGGAGCCCACGAAAATGGCAGCAGATGTTCGGTTCGCAGCCCCCCAGGGAGCCGCGAGGTCCCGTCTAGGTTTGCGTGTAAATCCAGTCCGTTGGACCTCCCAGGAGACCACGAAAGTGGCGGCAGTTGACCAGTTCTTTGCCCACCAGTGAGCCGCGAGGCCCCGTCGTGGTCTGCGTGTAACTCCAACTCCGCTGGACCTCCCAGGAGCCCACGAAAGCGGCGATGGCTGCGCACTTCGCAGCCACGCAGAGAGCCGCGAGGTCCCGCCTGGGTTTGCGTATAACTCCATTCTCTGGGTTCGCGTGTGACTCACCACGCCGGCTTTCCCAGGAACACAACAGTGGCGGCAGATGAGCAGTTCGCAGCCACGCAGAGAGCAGCGAGGTCCCGTCTGGGTCTGCGTGTAATTCCACTCCGCGGGATTTCCCAGGAGCTTACGGAAGTGGCGACAGTTGCGCACTTCGCAGCTCCCCAGGGAGCCGCGAGGTCCAGGCCTGGGACTGCGTGTAATTCCTCTCCGTTTTATTTCCCAGGAGCCCACGATATTGGCGACAGCTGTTCAGTTCGCAGCCCTCCAGAGAGCCGCGAGGTCCTGTCTGGGTCTCGGTGTAACTCCACTCCGCTGGCCCTCCCAGTAGCCCACGAAAGTGGCCACAGCTGCGCGCAGTTCGCAGCCCCCCAGGGAGCCGCGAGGCAGAAGAGGAAGAGAAGGGGAGGAGGAGGCGAAGGTGGAGACCGCAATGCTCTTCTCAAAACGAGAACCCAACACAGGAGGGTTGGGAATCATGCAGAAGACAGGTGGCAAGAGGAGGGAGGCGGGGAGGAGCAGGGAGGCGGGTGAGGAGGTGGAGGCCATGGTGCTTTTTTGTTCAGAGCGAAAACCGATCACAAGATGGTTGGAAATCGCTTGAGGGGCCCAGTCCCCCAGCAAGTGCAGCGGTGGCGGACACGTTCTTAACTTCTGATAGGAATGCGTGGCCGGGGAGTTCCAGGTCGTCTGCGGTGCTTCCGCATGCTTCATCGGCAGTCGCGTGATCTCCTGCGCCGTCGGGGGTGTCGTCTCCGTCGCGCCCTCGGGGATTCAGCTGCGGCAGAAGGATCGCATGGCGGCCTTCTTCGAGGTGACGTTGATGGAAGGACCCCCTGGTTCCGCGTGCTCGGTGGGCATTGCGACGCCCAAGTTCGCGGTGGAAGAGAAGGTGCAGCGCATTGGCGACGACCAGCACTCGTTTGGCGTGTGTGGCTTCGGGCGCACACCAGCGAAGCTGCAGAATGGGAGCTCCGAGATATTCGACGCTCCCCCGTGGTCCCCAGGCACCGTATTGGGAGTCTTGGTTGATCTCTCGAACGATCAGAAGACCGTTCTCCGGTACTTCGTCAACGGAGTGGAGCTGCGAGAGGCTGAGTTCAGCAGTATCGATTTGGGTGGGGAGGAGTACGTGTGCCCAGTCTTCACCGTCGAGTTCGGGGCAAAGTTGTACGTCAATTGGGGTGACCAGACGCTGCGGTATAGGCCGCCGACTCTGGACCAACAAGTCTTGACGGTCCACCAGGTGATAAGCCTGGAGAAGGACGCTCAGGTACGCGAGAAGGACGGCAAAGAGAATACCGGTAAGATGCGGATCGCTGAGGCAAGGAACAACCCAGACTACTGGGCTCATTTACAGAAGTTTCACGTCGAGGAGGAGTCCGAAGGGAACATCGCCGTCCGAGTTGAGCTCGCTTACTCCTGGCTGCCCGTCTACCCAGAGCCGTTCTTCCTCCACGGCATGCTGCTCACCACGGGCAAATGGTACTACGAGGTGGAGGTCACGGCGCTCACCTCGCGGTTCTTCAAGCTGACCGCGGGCTTCGCAGACCCTCGGTGTGACGGGAAGCCGGAGAGTTGCTACTCCCACTTCTCGGTGGGCAGTACCGAGGGCGGTTGGGGCCTCGACGTGGCCGACACGGAGCTCGCAGGAGACGGCGAGGAGGCCTCCTTCCTCCACATGGAGGGGAACGACTACGAGGGCCAGAAGGGCGACGTCTACGGCTTCGAGGCCAACCTCGAGGATCAGCGGCTCAGAGATGGGGTCCTGAGGGGTGGGGGCCTGAGGACGGGAAGGGATCCAAGGGTGGATGTACATTGTGTTGAAGCACCTCGTCCTCAGGACCCCGTCCACCAGGACGCCCAGTCCTCCCCATCGGTGCGCCCCCGAGAGCGGCCCTCCTCCGCTCCTCCTGGCCTCCACGGTCCGAGGCGGGTGTGGCTCCTCCTCCGGCCCCTCCCTCCTCCTGATCGCGATCCGCGTCCTCGAGCCCCAGAGCTGTGGTCCTCCGAGGAGCCGTGGCCATCGACCCCCCTCCTCCTCCTCTTCCTCCTCCTCCTCCTCCTCCTCCGCCTCCTCATCCTCATCCGCATCCTCATCCTCATCCTCATCCTCCTCACGAGAGGAGGGCTCGATCACCGTCCACTACCGCGGCGTGAGCGACCCGCCGCCGCGTCTGGGCACGGCGTTCGTCAAGGTCCCCTTCCAGGGGGGGCTGCGCCCGATGGTCGGCGTGGGCAGGGGGCTGGCCGAGGCTTGGGGGACGAAGGGCGGGTGCAAATAGACTGTTCCGCCGTCGGGGCCGCCTGCCCCAGCTGGGCGATGGACTAGCGACGGGCCCCGCTGCCATGGCACACCGCGGAGTTCCGCCGCCGAGCGAGGCGGCACCGGCCGCATGTTGGGGGTGGGCGCCTCCCCCGATCCATGGAGGATGGCGACCGCGCGCCAGATCCACGGAGCGCTTCTCCAGGTCTGCGCGCCCCCGGCCCAAGGGCGGCTGGAGAGTCTATGCCCCGACGTGCCGCCCTGGGGGCAGAGGCTTCCCGGCCGGCCTCGGGGCAGGCGTCCCCGAGGGCGGAGCAGCTCCTTTCATACGGCAGCCTCGCGCCGTGTCGACCTGCGGCGACCCCGCCGCCGGCGTTCCACGTCGAACGCCGCTGGCGGCCCAGAGTCGATCGATGCTGAACGATCCGACGTTTCGGGAACGGCCGATCGTTCCAGGTGGAACGGCCCTCGCGGTGTCGGAAACCGGCGCCGGGGTCGGCACGACACGAGCTTGTCGTGCCATTCTTGGGAGGTCACCTGCGAACCCTACCCCGCCGGGGAGGTGGGGTTCACTTCCCTCGGGAGGTCCCGAACGAAGTGAACTCCACCTCCCCCCTTGGAAATCTTGGGGAAATGGGGTACGGCAGGTTCGCGTCGTGCCGACCGGCGGCGACCCCAGCGCGTGCGTTTAAGGTTGAACGCCGCCCGTGGCCCAGAATCGGCCCGTCGTTGAGCGATCCGGCGTTCACGGAACGGCCGATCGTTCAAGGTGAAACGATCCCCGCAGTGTTGGAAACCAGCGCCGGGGTCGGCACGACACGAGTTTGCCGTGCCATTCTTAGGAGGTCATTTGCGAACCTTACCCCACTGGGGAGGTGGGGTTCACTTCCCTCGGGCGGTCCCGAACGAAGTGAACCCCACCTCCCCCCTAGAACCTGGGGAGATGGGGTAGGGTTCGCAGGGCTCATTTCGATTCTTCCGATTTGATTCGATTCGATTTTGATAACTTCCGATTCCGATTCGATTCGACTTCGGATTACGATTTGGGATCCGATTTCTCAGTGGAGGCCTATTGGCCTGCCGACTTCCGATCCCGATGTTCCCGACTCGGCTGCCGAGTTTCGCCGATCCGATTCATTTCGACTGCAGACCCGGTTTGTCGATTCGATTCTGGGCGCTCGAGGGTTCGCATGGGGCCTCCCAAATCTTCGCGTATGTCGGGCGTGTCCCCCTACAGGGGGATTTTCGACAAAAAATAGGAAAAATACCCCCAAAGTACCCCAAACAGGTGAAAACATACCCAAAAAATAGTCCCCGGACTATGTTTGCATTATTTTTGGACTATCTTTCGGGTATTGTTTATTTCTCGTCTTCGCTGGCTATGCGAGGTGAAGATCCGGCTGGACCCTCCGGCGCGCCACGTCCCCGAGGGCGCCAGGCCCGTGATGGACTACGTGCGGCTGGCGCGGCAGGACCCGCTGCGCGCCAGAGCTGGTGGGCCGATCTCCAACCACCACTGCCATAGGGAGGCGGAGGAGGAGGAGGAGGAGGAGGAGGAGGAGGAGGAGGAGGGGGAGGAGGAGAGAGCACCAGGAGGAGGAGGACGAGCAAGACGAGGAGGACGAGAACGAGGACGAGCAGGAGGAAGAGGAGGAGGAGGAGGAGGAGGAGGAGCAGG